TAATTATCTAATTATAGGGGTATGAAATGTAAATTTAAAATTAAATTTTTAAAAAATTCGGTGAATGTGAGGGTGAGGAGGGGGTGGGAAGTGACGTAAGCGGGTGGGGATATCAAGGCCCTAATTTTAATGTCAATTGGCTGGATATACTTTGACTCTTTCTTTTTTCATTTCTCATTTATTTTCGTTAATTTGAAATCTATACTGTATTATTAAATATTTGATAAAAATTTTAAAAATCATTTTTTACGTATAAAGTATCGTTTATTAATGTATATTATTTAAAATTCAAGATTGCAAGTAGATTGTGCATAAGTATAACTTATTAAAGCTTCATATCTAAATTTGTGTAACTAACTGCAGATAAACATAATMAAATACAGGATAAACATCTTATTTTAAATATAAAAAATCTAAAATATAATTAGGATAATTATTGAGTTCTAACAGAATACTTAATTATTATCTTTATAAAATATTATCTATACTATATTATAAAACATTTGACAAAACTCTTAAAAACAATTTTTTATGCACAAAGTACTGTTTATTGATGTATATTACTTAAAATTTAATATTACAAGTAAATTGTGTACAAGTACAATTTATTAAAGTTCCATACTTGAATTCGTCTAACTAACTGCAGATAAACATAATCAAATATTGGATAAACATTTCATTTTAAATATAAAAAAATTTAAAATATAATTTGGATAATCATTGATAACTAACAGAATACTTAGTTATTATCTTTATAAAAAATTATTTTATTAAACCTAAATTAAATTTCTTTGTTACTAAACCTAAATTAAATTATAATTAAAAAATGTAATTAAGAATATTACACTAAAACACAAGAACTTTTAAAAAGATTAATTTAATATTGATATCGATATTTTTTTCAAAATTTTATGATATTTTTAAATTTATATTTTATTCAAAAATAAAAACATTATCACTTTATCAAAACCACATAAAACCAACGTTTACTTAAAATTCAATATTACAAGTAAATTATGCAAAAGTACAACTTATTAAAGCTCGATATTTGAATTCCTATAACTAATTACAGATAAACATAATCAAATAGAGRATRAACATYTYATTTTAAAATATAAAAAATCTAAAATATAATTAGAATAATTATCGAGTTCCAACAGAATAAATAATTATTATCTTTATAACAAAATTATATTATT